TCAGTTTTCCGGCAGCTGTCTTGAATCTTGATATCTTGAAATCTTGATATCTTGATAGCTTGAATTATTGTTGGTTAACATCCTATTTCAATGAATAATCTGCAATAGTCCGGTCTATAAAGTGTCTTCTTCAGTCCTCTTGAAATCTTCCAATTTCCGGATTTTCCCGGAATTTTCTTGATTTTTCTCAAGCTGTTTTGAAAGCTGTCAATTTTTCTATGCTAAAATCTACCTTGCTTTGGAGTCTTTTCATTTTTCATCAGTCCTCCTGAAATCTTGAACATTCTTGTGTCTTGCAGGGTCCTTATGATGTCTTGAAACTCCATGAGTTTTCCTGATGCCGTCTTGAATATTGCAGTCTTGAAATCTTGGGAATTCCTGTCTTCCTGAGTCCCCTCGAAATCTTGAAACTTGATCAGTTTTCCAGAAGCTGTCTTGAATCTTGTCATCTTGAAATCTTGATATCTTGATATCTTGAAATCTTGAATTATTGTTGGTTAGCATCCTTTCTCAATGAATAATCTTCAATAGTCCAGTCTAAAAAGTGTTGTCTTCAGTCCTCTTGAAATCTTCAAATTTCAAGTAATTTTTTTCAGTCATCTTGAATCTTGGAAGTAGTTGATTGTGCCGGATTTTCCTTAAATATTGCAACTTCTTCATTTTTCTCGATCTGTTTTGAAAGCTTGCTTATTTTTCTATGCTTAAATCTACCTTGCTTTGGAGTCTTTTGCAGTTTTCATCAGTCCTCTTGAAATCTTGAGCATTCCTGTGTCTTGCAGGGTCTTTTTGATGTCTTGAAACTCCATGAGTTTTGCTGAAGCTGTCTTGAATATTGCAAGCTTGAAATCTTGGTAATTCCTGTCTTCCCGAGTCCTCTTGAAATCTTGAAACTTGATCAGTTTTCCAGAAGCTGTCTTAAATCTTGTCATCTTGAAATCTTGACATCTTAAAATCTTGAATTATTGTTGGCGAACATCCTATCTCAATGAATAATCTTCAATAGTCCAGTCTAAAAGGTGTATTCTTCGGTCCTCTTAAAACCTTCAAATTTCCGGTTATTGTTTCCAGTCTTGAATCATGTCATCTGGAAATCTTGATATCTTGAAATCTTAAAATCTTGAAATCTTGAATTATTGTTTGTCAACATCTTATCTGATTCAATATTCTTCAATATTCCAGTCTATTAAGTGTCCTCTTTAGTCCTCTTGAAATCTTCAAATTTCCAGTTATTTTTTTCAGTCATCTTGAATCCTGGAAGTAGCTGATTGTGCCTGATTTTCCTTAAATCTTGAAACTTCTTGATTTTTCTCAATCTGTTTTGAAAGCTTGCTTAATCTTCTATGCTAAAATATACCTGGCTTTGGAGTCTTTTGCAGTTTTCATCAGTCCTCTTGATATCTTGAGCCTTTCCGTGTCTTGCCGAGTCCTTATGATGTCTTGAAACTCCATGCGTTTTCCTGAAGCTGTCTTGATTATTGCATGCAGGCTTGAAATCTTGGAAATTCCTGTTTTCCTGAGTCCCCTTGAAATCTTGAAACTTGATCAGTTTTCCAGAAGCTGTCTTGAATCTTGAAATCTTGAAATCTTGATATCTTGATATCTTGAATTATTGTTGGTTAACATCCTATCTCAATGAATAATCTGCAATAGTCCGGTCGATAAAGTGTCTTCTTCAGTCCTCTTGACATCTTCAAATTTCCAGTTATTTTTTCAGTCATCTTGAATCCTGGAAATTTTTGATTGTGCCTGATTTTCCTTAAATCTTGAAACTGCATGATTTTTCTCAATCTGTTTTGAAAGCTTGCTTATTTTTCTATGATGAAATATACCTTGCTTTGGAGTCCTTTGCAGTTTTCATCAGTCCTCTTGAGATCTTGAGCCTTCCTGTGTCTTGCAGAGTCGTTATGATGTCTTGAAACTCCATGAGTTTTGCTGAAGCTGTCTTGAATATTGCAGGCTTGAAATCTTGGGAATTCCTGTTTTCCTGAGTCCCCTTGAAATCTTGAAACTTGCTCACTTTTCCAGCAGCTGTCTTGAATCTTGAAATCTTGATAGCTTGAAATCTTGAAACCTTGAATTATTGTTGGTTAACATCCTATCTTAATGAATAATCTTCAATAGTCCAGTCTAAACAGTGTCGTCTTCGGTCCTCTGGAAACTTTCAAATTTCCAGTTATTTTTTTCAGTCATCTTAAATCCTGGAAGTAGTTTGTTGTGCCTGATTTTCCTTAAATCTTGAAACTTCTTGATTTTTCTCAATCTTTTTTTTGTTAGCTTGCTTATTTTTCTATGCTAAAATCTACCTTGCTTTGGAGTCTTTTGCAGTTTTCATCAGTCTTCTTGAAATCTTGAGCCTTCCTGTGTCTTGCAGGGTCTTTTTGATGTCTTGAAACTGCATGAGTTTTCCTGAAGCTGTCTTGAATATTGCAGGCTTGAAATCTTGGTAATTCCTGTCTTCCCGAGTCCTCTTGAAATCTTGAAACTTGATCAGTTTTCCAGAAGCTGTCTTAAATCTTGTCATCTTGAAATCTTGACATCTTAAAATCTTGAATTATTGTTGGCGAACATCCTATCTCAATGAATAATCTTCAATAGTCCAGTCTAAAAGGTGTATTCTTCGGTCCTCTTAAAACCTTCAAATTTCCAGTTATTGTTTCCAGTCTTGAATCTTGTCATCTGGAAATCTTGATATCTTGAAATCTTAAAATCTTGAAATCTTGAATTATTGTTTGTCAACATCTTATCTGATTCAATATTCTTCAATATTCCAGTCTATTAAGTGTCCTCTTTAGTCCTCTTGAAATCTTCAAATTTCCAGTTATTTTTTTCAGTCATCTTGAATCCTGGAAGTAGCTGATTGTGCCTGATTTTCCTTAAATCTTGAAACTTCTTGATTTTTCTCAATCTGTTTTGAAAGCTTGCTTAATCTTCTATGCTAAAATATACCTGGCTTTGGAGTCTTTTGCAGTTTTCATCAGTCCTCTTGATATCTTGAGCCTTTCCGTGTCTTGCCGAGTCCTTATGATGTCTTGAAACTCCATGCGTTTTCCTGAAGCTGTCTTGATTATTGCATGCAGGCTTGAAATCTTGGAAATTCCTGTTTTCCTGAGTCCCCTTGAAATCTTGAAACTTGATCAGTTTTCCAGAAGCTGTCTTGAATCTTGAAATCTTGAAATCTTGATAGCTTAAAATCTTGAATTATTGTTGGTTAACATCCTATCTCAATGAATAATCTGCAATAGTCCGGTCGATAAAGTGTCTTCTTCAGTCCTCTTGACATCTTCAAATTTCCAGTTATTTTTTCAGTCATCTTGAATCCTGGAAATTTTTGATTGTGCCTGATTTTCCTTAAATCTTGAAACTGCATGATTTTTCTCAATCTGTTTTGAAAGCTTGCTTATTTTTCTATGATGAAATATACCTTGCTTTGGAGTCCTTTGCAGTTTTCATCAGTCCTCTTGAGATCTTGAGCCTTCCTGTGTCTTGCAGAGTCGTTATGATGTCTTGAAACTCCATGAGTTTTGCTGAAGCTGTCTTGAATATTGCAGGCTTGAAATCTTGGGAATTCCTGTTTTCCTGAGTCCCCTTGAAATCTTGAAACTTGCTCACTTTTCCAGCAGCTGTCTTGAATCTTGAAATCTTGATAGCTTGAAATCTTGAAACCTTGAATTATTGTTGGTTAACATCCTATCTTAATGAATAATCTTCAATAGTCCAGTCTAAACAGTGTCGTCTTCGGTCCTCTGGAAACTTTCAAATTTCCAGTTATTTTTTTCAGTCATCTTAAATCCTGGAAGTAGTTTGTTGTGCCTGATTTTCCTTAAATCTTGAAACTTCTTGATTTTTCTCAATCTTTTTTTTGTTAGCTTGCTTATTTTTCTATGCTAAAATCTACCTTGCTTTGGAGTCTTTTGCAGTTTTCATCAGTCTTCTTGAAATCTTGAGCCTTCCTGTGTCTTGCAGGGTCTTTTTGATGTCTTGAAACTGCATGAGTTTTCCTGAAGCTGTCTTGAATATTGCAGGCTTGAAATCTTGGGAATTCCTGTCTTCCCGAGTCCTCTTGAAATCTTGAAACTTGATCAGTTTTCCAGAAGCTGTCTTGAATCTTGTTATTGTGAAACCTTGATATCTTAAAATCTTGAAATCTTGAATTATTGTTGGTTAACATCCTATCTGATTGAATAATCTTTAAAATTCCAGTCTATAAAGTGTCTTCTTCAGTCCTCTTGAAATCTTCAAATATCCAGTTATTTTTTCAGTCATCTTGAATCTTGGAAATAGTTTATTGTGCCTGATTTTCCTTAAATCTTGTAACTTCTTGATTTTTCTCAATCTTTTTTTGTAAGCTTGCTTATTTTTCTATGCTAAAATCTACCTTGCTTGGGAGTCTTTTGCAGTTTTCATCAATCCTCTTGAAATCTTGAACAGTCCTGTGTCTTGCAGGGTCCTTTTGATGTCTTGAAACTCCATGAGTCTTACTGAAGCTGTCTTGATTATTGCAAGCTTGAAATCTTGGAAAATCCTGTTTTCCTGAGTCCCCTCGAAATCGTGAAACTTGATCAGTTTTCCAGAAGCTGTCTTAAATCTTGTCATCTTGAAATCTTGATATCTTGAAATCTTGATATCTTGAAATCTTGAATTATTGTTGGTTAACATCCTATCTGTTTGAATAATCTATAAAATTCCAGTCTATAAAGTGTCTTCTTCAGTCCTCTTGAAATCTTCAAATTTCCAGTTATTTTTTCAGTCATCTTGAATCTTGGAAGTAGTTGATTGTGCCTGATTTTCCTTTAATCTTGAAACCTCTTGATTTTTTTCAATCTGTTTTGAAAGCTTACTTATTTTTCTATGCTAAAATCTACCTTGCTTTGGAGTCTTTTGCAGTTTTCATCAGTCCTCTTCAAATCTGGAACATTCCTGTGTCTTGCAGGGTCCTTTTGACGCTTTGAAACTCCATGAGTTTTCCTGAAGCTGTCTTGAATATTGCAGGCTTGAAATCTTGGTAATTCCTGTCTTTCTGAGTCCCCTTGAAATCTTGAAACTTCCGGAGCATTCCTTATTATACTTTACAATCTCCAAATCTGAAAACTTCAAGTTGAAATCTGCCTGTAAAATACGTCTTGATCATGTTGATTTGACTTGGAAGTTGAATATTCCTTCGAAATCCTAATTCTTTAAAAATCTTCAACTTACGTCTGGAAACCTTGAAGGTTTGAAATCCTGAATGCTACCTTGAGTTTTCGTCAGACTTCCTTTGCCTCCTTGGGTCCTCTTGAAATCTTGACACTGCCCTAGTCTCAAAAAAGTCCCTGTTCCGCGGCAGTGTAACATCGTCCTCATTTTCGGCAATGCAGCGTGCGTCCACCTTGTCAGCAAAATGTGTTATTATGGAGAGCGCCATCTATTGTCATCTATTTTCGTCATTATCGTCTGCTTTGAACAGCGCACCCTATTATAGGAAAACGATGAGCAGTGTGTTACCAAAATGTTTTCTAGAGTTTTATCGCATTGATCGGATTGAAACACGGTTAAGTTTTCAATCCCCTAAAACCATCCGTTTCATAAATCTTTGCTTAAGCCGATATTTGTAATTGCAAACTCATGTATTTAGTAACACCAAAACCCAAAGTATTTAACTTAAACAAATACAGCAATGTTATTTAACATTCAAGATACTGTCATTTGGTTGATTACGGTCTTATTATTTTATACAGTTCTGAAGTTGAATCTCGATTGGGTTAAGGCCAAGAAAAAAAATTCCACCCGTTTCCACCGTTTTGGAAAGATTCCCATATCTGGCCATCAGTAATTTTTCCCTTAAATGATCAACCTATCAGCCATCAAAAAGTGATAATATGTCCTAAAAAGTCAAAATGAGCAGGACAAATTTGGCATTTTTACTGAGAAAACACTTTAAAATGTCCAGACCAGTCCCATAGGGTTTGTGCACAGGGTGTCAAGTGATGGCCAGATATTGAAATCTTTCCCCACTTTTGTGAATTATAAGTTGTGGATAATTATTTTGAAGTTATTCTGAAGAAATTAAACACTCACCTCTCGGCCCAACGACTAGCATTCAACCTGTCTCTGGTCGAAGGCCCGATTTGCCGACTCCATAAGCTCACGGCTAGAAACAATAAATAATCAAAATTTCACTTATTTCACTTATTTTGTCTCCAAAATCCCAGTGGGTGACTCCAGGATTGTCCAAATGCAGGGGTGTTGGAATCTAAAATATCGCAAGAATAGGAAATAATGTAGTATCCAGACGCTTCTTCAGCGGTGTGTACAAAGTCTAAGGAGAGTCCAGAACATTTTCTAGGTATTTCCCAACAAATTTGGAAATGTTTGTCAGGCATGCATGCATATTTCATGTCATTTCAACATTTTTGCAATGACTGATCTTTATTGAGATGATATATGGAGAAAAAGGGGCGTCAGGTTGCAACATTCTTTCCCAAGAATTACACTTATCATTATTTGTTTTATTTTATTTTTATTGGTTTTTTTTTTTGGGGGGGGGTGGAGTAGGCTGGGGGTGGAGTGGGCAATATCAAATTGTCAAAAAAATATGCATAATTATCCAGCTCAAAATTCCTTCTTTTTTTTTTACGTGGAAATATCTGCCGATGGTGCATGTGAAAACAAAAATCATCTTAATATTACTACCACATTTATATCAAGACATTCACAGTCAGTTCACTGCGCCAACCTCATAATATTATGGAAGGCCGTTACCAGTTCATTTGTTGAAAAAACTGCATTATTAAGGTTCAAATAACTGTTAAAGGAATCTCAACATTACAGGAATAAACCATACTCACAGTCAGACAGGGCGTTGCTCGCCTGGATTCTACCGCCATACTCGGTCGACCAGCGCTGTCTTAAAATCAGCTATGGGCCTGCGCAATTCAAAATGTCGCCAGCCATGTGGGTTTTGTTCCCGTGTGGATTAACATTTCCCGTCACACATGCCTTACGGCACAATTGTTAAACAAACTAGACGCGGACAATAAACGCTAGTAAAGATCCGTAGCTTTATTCAAATGAAGACATGCATATTCATTTCAGTTTGCTTATGGTCAAAAATGATCTTCCATACCAGTATGCAATTTTGGGTACATTCTTTGCAAATTTTAGGGATTATTAACAAAACGCTATCAACCCAAATCGCTTGATGCCATTTGTTCCTGACTGACCCCCAGAAGAGTGTTTTCGGGGCATTGGTTTTAAAGCCGATATGAAGGGGCACATTGAATACCATTTTCCCGGATCTTTTTGAGCGGGGTGTCCAGTTGTAAAAGTTGGCTAAATAAGCGGCTAGGCCAAAAGGAGAATCACATATCGATATTTTTTGCAGTCGATTGAACATTTGAATTTAGAATTAAATGTTGAAACACGCTTTTTCATAAACTTTCTCTCTTTTGGGGGCGGGGACACATTTCATTATTGGGGGCGGGATAAAAGGGAAATAACAAAGATACTACAACATCAATCCACACTCGTGTCAATTTCTTTCTGAAATTGATCTTAGCAATCTAAGCGATGAATCAAAAGTAAAATTCCAAATTGTATTATGCAAGAGGAAGTACAGAAGGGGCATGATAAAGCGTAGAATTGTCCTTAAAATCTGTTTTGTTTCACTTAGATCAGGAAACACAGCTGGGAGGTTTATTCTTTGAAGCAAATCATGACATAAATAGGACACGGATAATAAGGGAATGGACAAATAAATACAGAAAATGAGTAAATTTGATCCAGCAATCACATTTTTGTGTCCATTTCGCTTGTCAATGATCAAATGACAATTTTAAATAAGTTTACAAATTAGTATAACATCTTTATGTTGCCGACTTCTGACAAAATAGCGACATTAATGTAACCTTGTATGTGAAAGCACTCTTTTCCTCCCAATTTTGGAAATGTTTTACGCCTTAACAATGACATATCATGCAGCTAAAATGTTCACCGGCTAAATTATTACCAGATAAAGCATTCTTGATTACTTGGAGTCGAACACGCATTGAAAACAGTGGCATTACTGCGGGGCGGGCCGGGCCTGACCGGAGCGGGGCGCGGGGGGGGGGGGCATGCCAACCAGCAGATGTCCGTGCCCCCGTGCCCCCCTCCCCCCGTACACTCCCCCCCCCCCTTGAAAAATCTTGAATTGACAAAAAAAAAGTATACATAGGTTGCCTTATACGTACACCCCTTAAAATGTATACTGTGCACGCCCATGTGCCTCCCGTAGCCGTTTAACCCTTGTTACGGCACTTACTCTCTCCCACATGCACTTAAAATCCTTGTTTGGATGGACCCTGACACAATTTTGATATTGGGTCGGAAATTGACGGAGAAAACAAACACTGTATTTTAATTAAAAGCGAACTCGAACAACAAATACTTAGAAATGACTTTTAAAAGGATTGCCGCTGCAGCAACTGTTGCAGTTGCCAATAAATGATAAAAGTTGGAGTTAGTTTAGTGGTGCGGCATAGGGACAGAATTGTGCATTTTGTGATAAAAGCATGAAACTTGGCATGTGAGGTCTTCATACCATTATCCCCGGATGACCGGTTTTCGACGATATAAGGCCTTTTCGTCAAATTGACCAACATGAACGAAAGTATCACACCAAAAGAGGTCTCGGTCACTTTTTTTCATACCTTTTTTATCATTCCCCTTCTTTACTTCCTCTTGCATAATACAATTTGGAATTTTACTTTTTAATTCGTCGCTTAGATTGCTAAGATCAATTTCAGAAAGAAATTGACACGAGTGTGGATTGATGTTGTAGTATCTTTGTTATTTCCCTTTTATCCCGCCCCCAAATAATGAAATGTGTCCCCACCCCCAAAAGAGAGCAAGTTTATCAAAAAGCGTGTTTCAACATTTTATTCTAAATTCAAATTTTCAATCGACTGCAAAAAAATATCGATATGTGATTCTCCTTTTGGGCTAGCCGCTTATTTAGCCAACTTTTACAACTGGACACCCCCCCCCCCTGAAAAAAAGATCCGGGAAAATGGTATTCAATGTGCCCCTTCATTTCGGCTTTAAAAACAATGCCCCGAAAACACTCTTCTGGGGGTCAGTCAGGAACAAATGGCATCAAGCGATTTGGGTTGATAGCGTTTTGTTAATAATCCCTGAAATTTGCAAGGAATGTACCCAAAATTGCATACCGGTATGGAAGATCATTTTTGACCATAAGCGAACTGAAATGAGTATGCATGTCTTCATTTGAATAAAGCTACGGATCTTTCCTTGCGTTGATTGTCTGTGTCTAGTTTATTTAACAATTGTGCCGTAAGGCGTGTGTGACGGGAAATGTTAATCCACACGGGAACAAAGCCCACATAGATTGTCAATGGCTGGCGACATTTTGAATTGCGCAGGCCCATATAGCTGATTTTAAGACAGCGCTGGTCGACCGAGTATTGCGGTAGAATCCAGGCGAGCAACGCCCTGTCTGACTGTGAGTATGGTGTATTCCTGTAATGTTGCGATTCCTTTAACGGTTATTTGAACGTCAATAATGCAGTTTTTTTCAACAAATGAACTGGTAACGGCCTTCCATAATATTATGAGGTTGGCGCAGTGAACTGACTGTGAATGTCTTGATATAAATGTGGTAGTAATATTAAGATGATTTTTGTTTTCACATGCACCATCGGCAGATATTTCCACGTAAAAAAATGAATTGTGAGCTTGATAATAATGCATATTTTTTGACAATTTGATATTGCCCAATCCACCCCCCCCCCAGCCTACTCCAGCCCCCCCCCCCAAAAAAAACCCCTCAAAACCCAATAAAAAATAAAATAAAACAAATAATGATAAGAGTAATTCTTGGGAAAGAATGTTGCAACCTGACGCCCCTTTTTCTCTATCATCTCAATAAAGATCAGTCATTGCAAAAATGTCGAACTGACATGAATATGCATGCATGGGACTGAGAAACATTTCCAAATTTGTTGGGAAATACTTTAAAAAAATGTTCTTGACTCTCCTTAGACTTTGTGCACACTGAAGTAGCGTCTGGATACTACATTATTTCCTATACTTGCAATATTTTAGATTCCAACACCCTTGCCTTCCCCTTTGGAAAATCCTGGAGTCACCAACTGGGATTTTGGAGACAAATTAATGAAATAAGTGAAATTTTGGTTATTTATTTTATCTAGCTGTGAGCTAATGGAGTCACCAAATCGGGCCTTGGACCAGAGACAGGTTGAATGCTAGTCGTTGGGCCGAGAGGTGAGTGTTTAATAACTTCAGAATAACTTCAAAATAATTATCCACAACTTACAACTCATTAAAGTGGGGAAAGATTTCAATATCTGGCCATCACTTGAAACCCTGTGCACAAACCCTACGGGACTGGTTTGAAAAATTAAAAAAAAATTCTCAGTAAAAATGCAAAATTTGTCCTGCTTATTTGGACGTTTTAGGACATATTATCACTACTTGATGGCTGATAGGTTGATCATTTAAGGGGAAAAGTACTGATGGCCAGATATGGGAATCTTTCCAAAAGTGAAAATGGGTGGAATTTTCTTTTTCTTGGCCTTAGCCCAATCGAGATTCAACTTCAAAACTGTATAAAATAATAAGACTGTAATCAACCAAATGACAGTATCTTGAATGTTAAATAACATTGCTGTATTTTTTAAGTTGAATACTTTGGGTTTTGGTGTAACTAAATTTGTAGTAGGCTACATGAGTTTGCAATTGCAAATATCGGCTTAAGCAAAGATTTATGAAACGGATGATTTTAGGGGATTGAAAACTTAACGGTGTTTCAATCCGATAAATGCGATAAACTCTAGAAAACATTTTGGTAACACACTGCTCATCGTTTTCCTATAATAGGGTGCGCTGTTCAAAGCAGACGATAATGATGACACTGTTGGACAATAGATGGCGCTCTCCATAAAAACACATTTTGCTGACAAGGCGGACGCACGCTGCATTGCCGAAAATGAGGACGATTTTACACTGCCGCGGAACAGGGATTTTTTTGAGACTAGGGCAGTTTCAAGATTTCAAGAGGACCCAAGGAGGCAAAGGATGTCTGACGAAAACTCAAGGTAGCATTCAGGATGTCAAACCTGCAAGGTTTCTAGACGTAAGTTGAAGATTTTAAAGAATTAGGATTTCGAAGGAATATTCAACTTCCAAGTCAAATCAACATGATCAAGACGTAATTTGCAGGCAGATTTCAACTTGAAGTTTTCAGATTTGGAGATTGTAAAGTATAATAAGGAATGCTTCGGAAGTTTCAAGATTTCAAGGGGACTCAGAAAGACAGGAATTACCAAGATTTTAAGCTGGCAATGTTTAAGACAGCTTCAGGAAAACTCATGGAGTTTCAAGACGTAAAAAGGACCCTGCAAGACACAGGAATGTTTAAGATTTCAAGGGGACTCAGAAAGACAGGAATTACCAAGATTTTAAGCTGGCAATGTTTAAGACAGCTTCAGGAAAACTCATGGAGTTTCAAGACGTAAAAAGGACCCTGCAAGACACAGGAATGATCAAGATTTCAAGAGGACTGATGAAAACTGCGAAAGACTCCTAAACCAGTGATATTTTAGCATAGAAAAATAAGTTTTCAAAACAGATTGAAAAACAATCAACTACTTCCAAGATTCAAGATGACTGAAAAAATATCTGGATATTTGAAGATTTCAAGAGGACTGAAGAATACACTTTTTAGACTGGACTATTGAAGACTATTCATTAAGATAGGATGTTAACCAACAATAATTCAAGATTTCAAGATATCAAGATTTCAAGATTTCAAGATGACAAGATTCAAGACAGCTTCTGGAAAACTGATCAATTTCGAGTGGACTTAGAAAAGCAGGAATTTCCAAGATTTCAAGCCTGCAATATTAAAGACAGCTTCAGGAAAACTCATGGATTTTCAAGACATCAAAAGGCCCCTGCAA